CACCCCCAAACGCCCGGAAGGAAGGAAGGAAGGAGCGAGGCAGGGGGGGCAACCCTCTTGCCCATAACCCTGAAGAAAGAAAGAGAGAGAGGATGGCCATTTTGGCTCAAGTCGACCCGCCGCTCTCCTTTGGGGGGGCGCCTGAGGCCGGCCCTTTGGGATAGCTGGCTGTCCCCAGCTTTCCCATTGGGTGGACGTGCCCCGGGCGGGGGTAGGCTTGAGGCCAACCGCCGTCGCTGTTCTGCTCCAGTGGCCTGACCGGGGGGGAAGGCCTGTGTGAGCCATCGTCTTGACCGTGAAGTTCGTGACACCTTTGCCCTTGAGCGTGACCTAGCCACTGCAAGATCTACTCCATCAGCGTGCCTGCAGAGAGGGGGACAGTCATCAACGACCCGCAGGCCTTTGCTTTCCTCAAGACAGCGCACCTACTGTACCAGTTCGCTGGGAGGGGGAGCCCATCACCTCAACGGTCGTGATTTTTGGGCAATGGCCGCGACATAGTGAAGATCATGGTGGGGACATGCAAGCTTTGCAGATTCGCATCAGGAACATGTACGGTGGGGATGCGAAAAATACATGATCGCACCGACCCAGCATGCAGACTACATGGGGTGACATCGGCAGCCACAACTCCACCGAGAGCCCGAACTAGAACCCCACCGCGAGAAGGGGGACAGGAAGAACCAACAAGCAACTCGCCACAACGGGGGAGCGCCTCCTCCGGCACTACCACGACGGGCCGGGGGAGCAGCTCGACCTCGACCAGACCGCTGAGTGAGATGATTGGCTTTCGGACCCGCAAAGGAGTGGTACTTCTTTATGAACCCAGCCTGCTGGACGCTTGGATTGATAGAAAAATCGAGAAGACGGAGGAGGGGACCTTCACTGACATGGAGTCGGGGAAAATCCTCACCAAGCAGGAGGGGAAACAATACAGAACCTACCTCAAGCGCCATGAGAGTCGCAACGAGGAGGCACGCCAGGCGGACAAGCTCTTTCATACAGTCGATAAGTACCTACCTTTACAGGCCGATGAGACCCGCGCATTTATTGCGCATTTTCCTGCACGAGTGAGAACCGTGCTGCCAAAGGCGAGAAAGATTCGTAACAGGCTTCGACGTGAAGGGGGACCAGCCTCAGCAGCAAAAGAGCCACCCTCGAGGGGGGACAGCTCGAGACCAACTGCAAGTTCTGGGGGCGACTCTCCACCGGCACCGACAGAGGAAGCAACCCAGTGCGCGCGAGAACAGCGAGCAGGGGGAGCAGTCCGCCCCCTGAACCCTGTGGGAGAAAGGCACCCTCCGTGGATAGTGACACCCCACCGGACCGGGGAGGTGACAGCCAGACAGACGACGACACACCGCACAGCAACTGGCCATGGGGGGACCAGGGACGTCCTTCCGATCACAACGAGCTTGTGGGGGGACCACAGAAGCAGGAACCTGGCTCCCGAGATGAAAGCGGGGGAGTTCGACTTATTCCCAGCCGCATGTGGCAGGAGATCCGTGCAGTACAAAGCCTTCTGGAGCGTGCCCGACGATATCGGGGGGGACAGTGACAAAGGAGGATTTTCCTCCTGCAAGCAGCGGGGACGAAGCTCCTTGCCACCAACGCCGAGCAGTGTTGCAAAAAGTTCCCGTGAGCGCGCCGACTTCTGACGGGTGTGAGGGGCGATTATCCACACGATCGGACAATCCGTGAGTGCATGGCAGTTCCTTGGTGCTAAATCTTTAAACAAGCATGCTTTCTCAGGTAAACTTCACTCAACGGCCCAACCTGGCCCACAAATCCTTGTGTCTTTTTAACGCACCTGTACACTCTGTTCCTACTTTGGAAGGGAATTCAAGACGCTAACCCAGGCTTCAATTCGTACCAATCCAACAGAGGCAGCACGTAGATCTCGCCAAAGTCGGCGGGGGGAACCATGTTTTTTGCCTAGGTACCTCCGACCACTCCCTCAAGCTAAAGTTGTTCGTGTTCGCATTCTTTGTCGTGTTTGCAGCTTTATGTTTCTGCTTGGGGGGGGACCACGTATTTTCGAAGGGCAAGAGAAGACTTTAGGTCTTAGTCCGAGCCTTAGAGTGTTTTGCGATTTGTTTGCAAGTGTTCTGCGTTGGGGGACCAGCAACTACCTGTCCTGTCTTTGCTGCGAACCTTCGGGGGACCCCAACTGCCCATCCTTCGTTCCTGTACAGCTGAGCCTCTATGGGCGAATCCCATAGGGGATACGAACAAATCCCGTGAACCGCGGGTTCGCGTTCGCGCGCAGGGGGGGCAGCTGGACCGCTGCTTCCTCTTGTCCCCAAAGAGAGAGAGAGAGAGAGAGAGAGAGAGAGAGAGGATAGAGATAGCGAGAGCACAAGTGTAGCAGAAGAGGCGAGGCTGCGGTGTAAACCCACAGGGGGAGCTGTACGATCCAAGCGAACTTCGCTAAGTTTCAACAAATCCCCAAAAGGCCGTGCATCTGCGAAGAGAGGGCTCCTGCGAAGAAAGAGGAGGGGCACCAGCGGCAGGTGGCGGCTCGGAAGTGTCGGCCCTGCACGGCAAGTCTGAGCCTCAGCGCCTCTGCTGTGGGCTCCTTATCGCCTTATACTCCCTCTCCTTCTCTCCCTCCTTCTCTCTCTCTCGCTCTCTTGTGTTTTTTTTGCGAGGGGGGAGCTGAAGCCCATGCTGGAGAAGGCTGGGTCTAGCTCGCTTCGGTGCAAATTGGCGAAAGTGACGTCTTCTGACATTGCTTTGGACGTGCAAGGCTGGAGCTATCGAATGAGGCACCGATCTGTACAGCGAGGCTCGGCATAAGCCGATGCGGATTACGACACGAGCAAGAGTCGCAAGATGTCGCAAGAGCCCTTCAGCTTGCGCGGAGCTGTTTTCCGAAGGGCATTGCGAGGAGTCCGCTGGCTCGAAAGACTGGCGCATGCCGTCCCAGCGAAGTCGGCGCAAGTACGGGGCGGTTCCAGGGATGGTGACAGTGACTATGAGAGCATGATATTTTGGGCATAAGTCGGCTCCCTGTGCCGCTGTTTGGCTGAGAACCGTCGCGGTTCCATGCGGGCACCGTGTGCCGAGGCCGCGGGGAAAAGAGAGGATGTGGCTTTGTGGATGCCGCTTCTCTGGTGACTGCGCCAGGCTTGGCCCGAGTCTGAAATGGGAGATGCCACGGGCTCGACGCAAGGAGTGGGCTGGGAGCTTTGGGGAAGGAGACTGGAGCTGGAAGCCCAGCCTGGCAGGCCAAGGAGGCCCAGACCGAGGAGAGAGAGGCGGAGGAGACCGCGCCGGCTCCGAGCGGCCCCGCCCTGCGTCTCGAGAAACGGGCGGCAAAAGTTTTTGGGGCTCACACCCCGAGGCCTTGGCCTTGAGCTCCCGGAACTTCCCGCGGGCTGGAGCCGCTACTTCGACCCCAGGCCGCCGGTCGTCGGAGTGAAAGCGTCGAGCGGAGCCGTAGCGGAGAGAGAGAGAGAGATCGTCTCTTTAGTCAGATTCATCTTTTTCGTGAGGCATGGGACCTATCTCTATCACGAGGTGTGCAAGGAAGTGTTGACGGGGGAGTGGAAGCGTGAAGCTCTGCGAGAGGCGACGGGGGACTGGCACCTGGAAGCGGAAGCCGAAAAGGAGCGACGGGCCGCCCTCTTCGCTCCGAAAAGGCAGACCGGAGGGGCCCCTCTTCTATACCAAAACCCTGTGGCAGGTTTTGGCTGAGTCAGGAAGGGAGGCGCGAGTGGAGGCGGACTCGACCGCCTGGCTTGGGACCGAGAACCCTAAACCCTAACTGCCCTAACTTCTCTCCCAGACAGCGTCTAACGAGGCCAGAGCTGGGGGCTTCGGAAGTCAAAGAACTTCGCGGAGGTGCGCCCCCTTTTATTCTCTTCTGCATATTTATATCTCCTCTCTTTCTCTGCGGACATAGCGCAGGAGGGGCCAAAAAAGGGCCCGCAGCCTTCAAGGACCGTCGTCTATCAGCGGCTCTCAAGACGGACTCCTATCGCGGGCAGCTCTGCAGTTTTTTTGGGCAGGAAGCGGCGAAAGAGGCCGCCAGGTCCGCAGGGCAGGGCCCTTTGGCGGGGGGGGAGGTGTGTGGTGAGTCTCGGCCTTGGAGGCTTCCAGCTCCGAAGCGACCTCCGGTGCCTCCCATTCCGGAGGGGAGAGACTCCGAGCCTTCGGCGCCCGGCGGCCTTGCTGGAACCTTGCCGGCGAGCGGAGAGGCGCCGGGGTGTCGCGCCTCGATTGCTGCTCCCTCTCCTCACCTGCCCGCTGCAAGCGACCGGACGAGGAATGCAAGAGGAACATGCAGTTGAGCTGGGCCTCTTTAAACGCTCGCAACTACGATCGCAATGAACTTTGGGGTGGAAGTTGAGGGGAGCAAGCAGCGAAAAACCTCAGAGACCGTGCAGCATCTTGCAGCATCTTGCAGCATGTATGTACGACCAGAAGCCGGCCATCCGAGCTGATGGGCGCCGCATGCTCCACCGAATGGGGCGAGGACAAGGCGCTCCCGGAGGAGCCTGGCATGCCGGGCTACCGGGGCACGGGGCCCAGGAGAGAGAAGCGAGCAGCGCTTTAAAGAAGCAGCGCTTTAAAGAAGCCCTAAACTTCCTAAACTTCCTAAGCCCT